CCAGTAGATTTTTAAAAATTCAATTAAATTTATTTCTTTTAAAAAGCAAAAGTAGAAAACAAGACATTTTGTACTTTAAGACTTTACAAGAAATAAAATATTTAATTAAAAATAGAAGAATTTAAAATTTATACGTAACTAAATATATAATGTCAAAATATATAAAGAAAAACTGGCAGAAGTATAAGGAGACATAGAACTCCATAGTCACAGCTAAAAAAGTGTTATTATTATTCTCAGTTATTCAGAGAATCAAACAGAAAATCATTATTGATAAAGAATGATCTTTAGTTGTTTGGGACGGTGTTCTATACAAGTCCAGTTGGTCAGATTTGCTAATATATGCATTGTACACGTGAGTGTGTGTGTGATTTCAGTGAAGCAAGTACAAATAAAGAACAATAAAGGATGGATAGAAGGAAACAAGCAATGGATCTCTTGAGATAGGGAAATGGACCAAGGAAGCAAGAATAAGGGGTGAGAAGAAGGGAAGGGGAAATAAGTAGAATAAAGATATGCCATGTACAGGAACCTAGTAATCTCAGTGAATGTAAACATTATATGTTATAACATGAGCTAAGATTAAAAATATCAACAAGGAAGAATCATAATAGAAAAATTAGAGGAGGGAGGAAGGAGAGAGGAGGATTTAAAACAAAATTACCTGTAATACATACATGTACCTACTTCCCATGATGATTATAAACTGCATGTACTATCAACATGTACTAATAAAATTTTAAGTTCAAAAACATTATAGGAGAAATCAATAAAGAAAATTACCAAAAAATTGGTGTATTTAGGAATTAAAAATTACATTTCTATATAACTACTGATCCACAAAGAGTCATTTCATGTCATAATTAAAATACTGACCTGAACAAAAATGAAAATACTTCATAACAGAACTAAAACTAAGCAAAGGGAATTTTATATGCTTAAATGCATAGGGACAAAAGTGAAAATACTTCATAGTTCAACTAAAACTTAAGAAGGGAGAATTTTATAACCTTAAATACATATGTGGAGAACTTTCAGACTGAAAATTAATTAGCTAAGTATCCATCTTAAAATGTATTAGAGAGTCAGAAAATTAATCCTAAAAAAAGGAAAGATCACCAAATCAAAAGTTGTTCTCTCAAAAGACTAGTGAACTTAATAAACTTCTGGTGTGAATGATGGAGAAAAAGGGACGTAACATACATAAGTGAGTTCAAGTTTGTCTGATCCAACAGGAAGACCCTGTCTCGAAAAAAATTCAAGGAAAAAAGTACCGCTGAAAATCCTATAGATAAAAAAAAAAAAAAAAAGACTATTAACCTTAAGGTACAAAAGCTTGAAATTTTAGATGAAACAGACATTTCTAAAACATAACATTAAACAACACAACTGCATGACCCAAACAACCTTAATTAATCCTACAACATTTAAAGAAACTCAGTTGATAGGTAAAAATTATTCCCACCAAGTAGATTCAAGCACACACAGATAGCTTCATTAGTAAATTCTACCAAGAATACAAGACAGGAATCATTAAAATTCTAAGACATATTCAGAGAACAAGAATAAACTTGATTAATTTTTCAACCTATTACATGATATTAGGAAAACACTGATACCTGAAAGAAGCATAAGAGAAAGTACAATTGTAAGGCCTTCTTACTCATAAACATAGAAAGAATGCTAACAAAACATTAATCAATCTAATTACGAGACACCAAAAAAATGACCCTTGTTTCTTTTTATTAATATATGTTTATATTCCCCAGTACTTATCACCACTTCAGCTTTACATACCATCAAGCACTATATTCTCCTAAGAAGCTCACAATCTAGATTCCTTGCATGGACAGTAGACAGTAGGGTTCAGGCTCCTATGAGAACATGATGTTGCCACTGATCTGACAGGAGGTAAAGCTCAGGGCAGTATTTTGAACAACGGGAAAGAGCTGTAAATACAGAAGAAAAGTCTACTTCTTGTCCATCCCTCACCTCCTGCTGTATGGCCAGTAGTGAAAAAACTTGTCTTAAATATAGTTAAATATATATACATCGTATGTCACAGACATTCCATTCCTAAGTGTCTAACTAAAAAGTGGAAGTATATTTCCATGCAAAGATTTGTACATAAATGTTCATAGCAGATTTATTGCTACTATCTTAAAACTGTAAAAAGCCGAAATGTTTCTAGTGCCCAATAAATTCATGTATAAACAAATCAGTATATCCATACTATAGATTATTACTTAGCAGTATATGTATATTGATATGTATAATATTGATGCATCCAATAACATAGATGAAACTCAAAATAAGCAGATAAAAGAAGTCAGACCAAAAAAGTATAGACAACATGATTCCATTTTTTAAAAACTATAGAAAATATAATCTACAGTGACAGGTAGGAAATAAATGGTTATATGGAGATGGAAACAGGAGCACTGAAGAGAGAAAGCTGGATTATAAAAGGGCAAGAAAAACATTTGGGGGTGGTAAATATATTTGTGATTTTTGTGTGATAGTATCACAGATGTCTGTACACATGTATGTCAAAATTTAACAAATTGTACATTTCAAATATGTATAACCTATGTTAGACATATTTTATTGAGCCGTAGCTCAATAGAACTCTAAAAAGATAAAAAATAGGTAACATTTGTCTATCTGATATATAGTCAGCCTAACTCATTCGAAAATTTTAAACAAGGAGAAAAAAGCAGAGGGACTTATAAAAGGAAATTTTGTTTCTATAATAAAATAAGCTTGGCAATTGGAGGTTTTCAGCACATTTTTTTATCTCTTTGAATAACTTTGCTGTTCCAGGTAACTTCTAAGCATCATTATTAGATTCTACACTGTAAGAGAAGTAACAATTACTGGTTCAGAAATTATCTCTAATGAAATTAAATGTAAATATGGAAAAGTTTCTAAGAAAGCAGTAGAAAAATACAGCCTGACATTTTTAAATATACAGACCACTCTTACAGATCATACTAATTAGAATACTAAATATACTAAAAGTTTTTGTTCTCTCCATTGTAAGAAGCTCAATAGAGACACTTCATTCCAATAGACTTTCCTATTTTGTAGGCAAGAACTTCATGTTCTTCTCTGCTATGTTTTTCAGTAGAGCAGAGGCCAAAAAACACTGTTTACTTCCTTATTTGTCCAATAAATCATCAACAGTGAGGTCAGCAGCAAACTGAACAACTCTGGAAGGAATGCTTATTAACTAACAGGGTTCCAAGCCAGTTGAGGCAATCCCAGAGCAGTACAAAAATATTACTTGGCTCTAAGTTTCAAAAATACAGTATTATCAAGTTTCCTAAATTTGGTTCCCTTTTAGAACCCCAAGGATAAACTGTGTATTCGCTGTAGTCAAAGTTGACACACTTTTAACAGTTTTTCTTAACCAGCTAAGTAACAACTAAAGACAGAGGTTTAAAATTTAATTGTCTTTAACCTTATAATTACATAAAGTTATTCATGGTCTTTTTTTTTCTTTCCCTTAACAAAATAGTCAAATGTATTAACGTCAAAAGACTTGAGCCAGGCACGGAGCACACCTGCAATTCTAGTATTCAACAGGCTGAGGCAGGAGGATCTCTATAAACTGGAAGCAAGCCTGGACAACATAATGAGTTCAAGGCTAGCCTGGTTACAAAACAATACCCTGTCTCAAAAAAGATTTGAAACAAAATCAACTAACTCAAAACTATAAAATTATCTATATCTCCCCTAGTGTATGAAATTGGGAAAAAAAAATTTTTAACTTTTCAAAAGACTGGGACCCGGGGATTTAACTCAGCGGCATAAGTGCCTGCCAGGCAAGTGTGAGATCACAAATTCCATTACAGGCACCAAAAAAAAAAAAAAAAAAAAAAAAAAGATTGTGTGTATGTTTTCATGCATTCACTGATTGGAGTTTAATAGTTTGGTAAAAATATACATTCTATTTGTTCATACTCCAAAAGTACATGACATTTCAAACATGTCAATGTCTTATTTGTAAGTATCATAATCAAATAAACATAAGTAATACAAAAGGCTTAAAAGCAAGTTTTTCATTATACTTATCAAAACATAACTATGAACAATTCATTTTAGGTTAACCTTAAATTTATGAACTAAAAGAAGGCAGTAAAAAGTTCTGTTTTCCTTAGTTGTAAAATCCTCAACACAGTATCTGATAAATAGGAGTACCTAATAACAGTAGATAATAGTAACAGTGTAAGACTACAAAATATAAGAGCAAAGTACTAGATGTTCATTATTCCTTATTTCTTTTTATTAAAAAATGCACCAAATTCAATTCCACAAGTTCTACACTAAGCCATGTATTTTGTTCGTCACTATGAAAGTGACTACATAAGACTATTTTGAAAAAAAGAATGAAAACAATGTCAGTCCATTAGTAAGAATTGCTTTTTATTTTAAATAACAACTATTGAGTCTTAACTATTGAAATGGTGTCATCTTCCAAAGCAAGAGGGAGATTATCAAATATTCACATTTTTCAAAAGCCGTATTAAAAAATCAGCTATTTTAGCGCTTAATCCATAGATATTGTTTTAAAAACAAATCTCTTTGCTCATTAAAAGTATTTACTAACAACACGTCTGAAATCTAATACTTTCTATCCAAAATTACAGCGCTACTGCCAATTGCCAAAAACACTTAGAAACAGGTGTCTTGATATTGAAGGTAATATTAAAAGATCACTTCTAAATTGGCTTATTGCTAATGAAATAAATGGTTTCCCATGATGACAAATGTAAGCATGTGAGTTTACATTTCTCTTTTTTTTAAAGGCACCATTACATTATGGATCTATCTTACATGAAGGAATTCTATAACTCAAGGAGCTAACAATATTTGTAGAGTAAAAGAAAAACGAAAAAGAAAAATTAGGAAAGAGTAACAATTGGTAAAAACCCTTCCTTCTTTTTCAAAGTTTGTTGTATAAACTTAAAATTGCCCTTATAATCAAAGTATCATACCATTTACTGCTTTCTCAATCAATTCTTCGCAAGCGTCAAAATCACCCTTCAACACCAGTTTGTCGTGTAGATCTGTTAACATAGGATGTTCCAGGGCTATCTTAGTTTTCTTTTGCAGTGATTCAAAAGCCTCTGTATAGTTGTGTTGTCTGAAATGTTTTAGGCAAAGGCGAATGGCTTCCTGTTCACGGTACTACTAGAACACAAGAGAAAGCATGCAGAAAAGAAGATTTGCTTAGTTGCACTACAGGAAAAAACAGCACAGTAAAAATAACTAACCTAACCTCAGCACTATTTACTGAGCACTGTACTAGTCTGATTATCATTATTTTCATCTTTTAAATAGCAAAACTGCAGCTAAGGTCTTTGTAGTAATTTTCCCAAAGGAGATGAAACCAATTAGACCTATGAATCTGAACTGTGAAAAAAATGTAATTCACTACACATTATGGCTCACTTAACATTGTAAAAATTTTATCTTCTACAATTTTTACTAATCAAATTACAATGCAAGTACTAAAAGCACAGATACCATCAACTAATACACATAAACTACATTATGCTTCTTCCTCTTGCTTAAGAATAAGCTATTACATGAATGAGAGATATTCTAATTTTATAAATAGGTTTTACAACTCAAAAATTATCATAGATATTAAATTTTATCATCTATTAAACAGTATAAAGTATGTACTTGGATTAACTAGAATCCAAAAAGCAGGCAGTTAATTTATACAGCTTCTCCCTTAAAGCATGAATACCAAAAATAAGCCCACAAAAAGAATTTTTTAGCTGAGCCTGGTAGCACATGCCTATAATCCCAGCACTTAGGAAACTGAGGCAGGAGGATCACAGTGAGTTTAAATCCAGCAATAGTAAGACCTATAGTGAGACTTTTGTCTCCATAAATAAATAAATAGAACTTTTTAAAAACTCAACTGCAAGACTACATTCTGAGATTACCTGACATTTTCTAAGTATACCATTGTACAATAAGAACTAACAAAAGCACTATATGATAATCAAACAACGATTATAAGCATTACCCTTTAGAGAAGAAGAAAATAAGGACTTAGCTGATTTCTAGACTAATAAAAGATTATGAAATATCTTCACATATTGTAATTATAAAAATTTAACCTTACAAATAACCAAAGCATAATGCTCTATCAATCCTAATTTTACATTAGTAGAGTTTTGTTTTGTTTTTATCTAAAACAAGAGCCATCATTATTCTGTGTGCTGTGATTATATTAGAAACACCTGTTTATCATCATGACTCTAGGGGCTTGATCATACATCTTAAATCTTCTATCAGGTTAATAACCACCAAAAGCCATGTTCAAAGTGTTTACATAGGGGGCTGGGGGTTTAGCTCAGCGGCATAAGCGCCTGCCTTGAAAGCTGGCAGTCGTGAGTTCGATCCCCGGTACCGATAAAAAGGAAAAAGACCAAAAAAAAAAAAAAAAAAAAAAAAACAAACAAACAAAAAAAAACAAAGTGTTTACATCAATGTAGGTTAAAAATAACATTAAGAGCCAAATAAGCAGATTGTAGAGCTAGACTACATGAGTTCATGTACTGGCTACAGTACTTTACAACTGTGTGATTCTCTGTGTTCTATTTCCTCATTTATAAAATAACAGAGACAATAAATGGATTATTTCAGGGTGGCAATGATTAAATGAGTTATCAAGATTGATTAGAAGCTGGCACAGTGTTAATACTTAAAAATGTTAGTTGATGAATTGTTGTCAACTTTATTATTAATCTCAGCATTTCAAATTATTCACAATGAAAATAAACAATTCCTCCTTCTACAGGCATTAAACATAAGGACATAATTTTAGAATACAATCCTACCTTGCTGTACCAGTTGAGACATGGTTGTACTACATCAGGATCATCAATGCCACTAAGTTCAACATACCAGATGCTAAAGTTAAAACTGGGCCCCCACGACAAGAGTGGAACTTTAAGAAGAGAAAAAAAGTATTAACACAGTGCAATAAAATCTTAGCAAACTAAATCACTATTTGAGTCTGTAAAGATTTATACGACGTTTTCTGTGCATCTCTATATGCACTGTGCTAGATGCTAAGGTTATGGTAGTAAAAAGAAACACGTGACCCATTCCACCACGAGGCTCCCTTAGTTAACAAAACCTGGTAAGATAATTCAAAGTAATCTCATACACACACACACACACACACACACACACACACACACAAACACACATACATATCCCCAAATAAACATAACCAGAACTAGGTGATTTAACAGGTAAATGTCACAAAACTTGTATTTGACAATAATTATATTATTTAAACTATATCAAAGGAATAAAGTTCAATTATTTACCAGTAATAACCCAATAAAATGAAAGAAAAGGACGCAAGACTAATCTCAGCTACAAATATATATCCAAATTAAAGAGAAAAAAAGATGAGAAAAAAGCCTTGTAACCAAATACACTTCATCCTAGGAAAAGAAGGATGATTCAATATTAGGAGCTATATTAATATAATTTAGCAGCTTAACAAAATGTTAAAAGAAAAAATGTATTTTATTTTATATTTATTTTTGTCTAGTGGACATTAAACTTGTAATCCTAGTACTTTGGGAAACTGAGGCAGAAGGAGAATAAATTCAATTTCCAACTTGACAACTTATCAAGAACCTGTCTCAAAATTTAAAGTATACTATTCAGTGGCAGAGTACCCAAATTCAATCCCCAGCATAACCCTCCCCATAGAAAAGTCACTTGTAGATTATAGGTAACTCTCTACATAAAAACTTCAGAAGATACAAACAACTTCTTTTCAAGTTTTACACATCATAAACATGTAAAATGTAACATCTTATACTTATAATCAATTTGAAAATAAAACAAATGATATTTTATAATTGCAAAAACCACAACATATCTCAGAATACAGGGAAAATAAGCAATATTCATGGAAGAAAATTTTTACTGAGAAATTAAATAAGTGAAGTGATACTGTATCTTCCTCAATAAGAAACTCAATGTAGTCAATATATCAATTCCTTTCATTATAAATTGAATGTAATCATAATTTTAAAAACACTCCAAAGGTATATATTAATTTTTCTTGATATGTAATTATACAAGCTGACCTGAAAAAGGAACACAAGAATATTCACAATAAAATAGGAATACAAATATATTAAAAAGATACAATAATTATCATATTACGCTCATACTTATCTAGGAAAAGGAAAATAAATTAGAAGAATGGGGGGGGTAATCCAAAAATCTCTTAAGCATCCAGAAAAATTTAACATAGAATGAACTAAAACTTCACATCAATAGCAATGGAACAGTGCAGAAATTTTCAAAACATGACCTTTGAACTTCTGGAGAGTCTCACAATACTTTGTGGCAGTTTCAGATGGTCAAACTACTTTCTGTAATAATACACAACAACAGTATTTTAATAATACTAACATTGGCATCAAAGGTGAAAATGCAATGGTTTGTAAAACTGCTGACACCTGTAGCAAAGCTGTAGCACCAAAAAGTATCAGCAGTTCTTAATCCAGTACGAGCTGCACTGTATTCCTCACCATCATATACTTACACTTTAGTAAAAAAAGACTGTTCATTTAAGGATGTCTCTGATGATGCAATAAAAATTAGTCTTATTGAATCCCTATGATTAAATATACATCTTTTTAGTGTGACAAGATGGGAAACACTAAAGGATTTTTCCTGTACAAAAAGCATAATGGTTATCTCAAGGAAAACAACTGAGTAGAAACATTTGAGTTATGAGATAAAATAAGTGGATCTTTTCCTGCATGGCAATAAATTATTCTTGAAAGAAAAATGACTGATAACCTGATTATTCAGATTTGGATATCTGTTAGGACATTCAAGAAAAATAACTGAAGATATGGGATTTTGAAACTATTTTTTTTCCAGTTCCGGCAACCAAACTCAGGACCTTGACCTTGCCAGGCAGGCACCGTGCCACTAAGTTATATCCCCAGCTGAAAATGAAATTCAAGTTTTTAAGAGAAAATCAGAATTTTAGAAAAATCAGAGTCTAGCAGTTTAAGCTTAAGTAGTTCTGTAAGATTTTTCTGACTGGAGGTAATATTAATGAAATGTTTCCACACTTGAAAGAACCGTATAACTAACCAAACCATTTTCTAAATGACCAATGAATGATATCATAAAATCACACATGGATACTAAGTCCAGGATAGACCACAATATCTAATTGCCAGGTCACTGATTTCAAAGTTTATAGCTTGTTTTCATTGCTTCAGAGTACAAAAGGAACTAAGATGTATGGGTCAGATACTTTTCTTATAGTGTTAATTAAAGGAAGCTGTGTGAGTAAAGACAGATACAAGCAGTAGCAACCAACTATGTGGATGTATGAAACATTGTGAGAATGTTTATTACGATTTTCCACTTCCCTGTGCAAACAAAAATTTCCAAAAAGTTTTATATCAAGTCTTAAACTTCCACTCTCTTTTCCTCTTCTTTCTCCCTTCCCGCCCTTGTTCATCACTTCTCTCTCCTGATCTTCCTTTTTTCCTTTTAGAACTGAGGACTAAACCCAGGACATTTATATTAACCTATATCCACAGGTCTTTAAAAAACTATCTGAGTGTCACTAAATCTAGGTTGCTAAAGATGGAGTCAAATTTGTGACTGTTCTCCTGTCACAGCCTCCCAGATCGCCTGATTTACAGACATGCACCATGATGCCCAGTTTATTTCTTTGTATAGCACTGACATTTTTTTGTCTACTATGTCACACAGCAATGACCACCAAACAGTATGAGTCAGAATAAGACATGAGTCTAATTTCAGAGTCACAAAAATATTTTATGTATATCCAGATACACAGTAGTAGAGGTTCAAGTTCAATAAAATTAAGAGGAAGAGGAGAATCTTCCTATTATATCTATTAAGGCCCAGCAAAATATATTTATTTTAACAGTTAAACAATTTTATTCTGATGAGATTTACTGTGTACACCCAGTGTCTCAATAGAAATATTTCTGAATAAAATTTGTTCTATTTTTTAATACATTTGAAAGAACAGTTAGGGGAAAAAGGCAAATTACCAAGTTATCTAATGAAGGATATCTTACAGATAAATGAACGTGTAGTTAGTTATTAACAGATTAAAGGAATTTGTAAAAAATGTAAAGATGATATTCCTTCATTTCAATTTACCAATGATTTCTGGTGGCTTTATCAACTTTACTAATGCATATCAGATATACTATAATGAGACATAAGAAATCTAAATGTGAATTGAGGGTTCTGGAGAAACATTATTTATCCTCTCATAAAATGTCTCTGCTGCTACCTTAAATAAAAGAATAAGAAACTCCTAATATATATGTCAAGAGTAGGAATTTCTACAGTTCAACCACAAGTCCTCCCAAAAGATGGATTAGGCATAAGACATAATCAAGAACCATGCATCCTTTTCATAAAATGGGATACATACAGCACAAGGACAGCAGACTAAGACTCTACTCTTAACTGAAGCAAAGATGGCATATTTAATGTGCTTTAATGATACAACTTAGGAACTCTTTTATAGATGACTAAAACAGCCATTTCGAGATGCCTGTCATTTTAAGATCAGGTTCCAGAAGATCCTAAAAATTCAAGATTAACCACTCTGAAGTAGCAATTCCACTATGGAATAAGTACACAAAGCATTTAGCAAAGTAACTAGCACACAATAAGTGCTCAATAATTGCTAGCCTTACTATTGTTAGTATGCTTAATTTTCCTTTTAATAATGTGTTTTTTAAATGTCACTTCCCACATAGTCTCATAAAAGGTCATGCATGCCCACGCAGAATCAGGATACCTTCTAGACATAAGACCCATCCTAAACTTCCATAATCCTGAGATGCAGAATATATGTCACATTCAATCTGAACCTCTTTGAAGCCCCACAACAATGTGGACTCCAAGTGACTCTTCTTAACTAACAAAAACAAAAACTTCTGCTAGAATCCTTCCAAGGCTCAGTATCTCTTTCAGTGTCTTTGGCTTTCTTGCTAGTTTCCTCATTTAGCTATTACCACAGTATAAATGAAGATTTAAATTCTTCTAGTCACTGGCAACCAATACTCTCATCCCACACCACTTTAGGTTTCCTCTCCTGTGATCCTAACTCCCACTGAGGTCTCCTCCCCAACTTTTAACTTACTTTCTAGGATTCAGTCCCTCAATTAATAATGCTCCTTCTTTAGTAAATTTTCCCTGTCCTTCTAGGCCTTTCCTGAAGCCAAGACTCTTCCACTTCCACACTAAGTCCCATCTAAAACAGAACCCCAGTAAGAACTCTTTTGCCTTTGTGCCATGACCCTTTTATACTGTTTGGTAAAACGTATGACATATCACCCTTAGTTTTAAATGCATAAAATAAAACATGCAAAACTGCAGAATTAATTGTATTAAAGTAAAATTATAATAAAATAAAATTATTATAAGAAATTAATATGCTTCTATTAACACATTAAATAACAAGATCTAGAGGCAGGTCTAATACTTAACCATAATTTTATAACTTTTGTGATAAAACTGACAACATCAATGTGACAGGAAAAACTTGTAACTTTTATTTTTAACTTCTAATCTTTGACAAGTCACAAGCACTACAACTACTATTATGAGTTACTTTTCATAACAGAAAGAAATGCCAAATGTTAGGAAGCAGTTAGGAAAAAAATGCAGTTTTTTTCCTCAGCAAATTCATGAAGCTGATTTATGCCCTGAACTTCTTATATAATTCAAAAGGTAAAAAAGTACATACAGAGGTGTCTACACTGAGGAAAGCAGTTTGCATGAGGAATCAGAAAACAGTTTATTCTCTCCAAGGATTTCATAATCACCCTGAGGAAATAATATATGTACCACATAGTCAGCAAACTTGACCTTTGGAAGTAGAGACTTGAGTCTATGTCCAATCACTACATTTTAGTACTTGTATGGTTTTAGCCAAAACACCTAACCTCAAAACTTCAGATTCATAAACTGTAAAGTGAGTACAGCAATATCTGTCACTGAGTGTTCGGTGTTTCATAAATGGTATCTATTGTTACTCAAAAGCAGTATGAACAATGTTATGCAGTCCCCACAATGTCATGCATATACTAAGTTCTATGCCTTGACCATCACATGCTGGTTAACTTATGTGACTTTTACCCTGCTTCTTCATTAAAAAAATGGAAAGATTTCCATTTGTTGTTAGATACCACATTTTAAGGTCCTTACAAAACTATCAAAAAACAATATAAATATAAAAAATTCTAAATAATGATTGCTGAAATGACATCATGGTCCAAATTATACCTATCCATATTCTTTTGTATAGTACCTAAAATACTGTATGTAAGAAGGCGTCCAAAAATGCACAAGACTAGAAGAGAAGAAGCCACACCCCACCTTCAAGCAACTGGCTGATTCAGAGGAACAAAGGCTGAGTTAACACCTGAAATAAACAACCTAACACTTAATACAAGTTTGACTGACTTTATAAGACTAGCCAGCAGTCTGAGCAACTATTTAGACACTAACAATACGCAATATAGTAACTACTATGGATTTCCTATTGTCTTATCACTATCATGCTTTGTTTTAGTTGTTTTATTCCCTTCTAAAAAATGCACAAGACATTCAAAATGTAATCATTTCTTTCATAAATGGGATCTTAAAATTTAACAGACTAACAACTGCTTCAAAAATCAGAACAAAATTCAAGAAAATGTCTCAGATAACTACCTACCATATCACTAGGCAGAAAAGGTAGTACTGGGCTGGGGATTTAGCTCAGCGGCATAAGCGCCTGCCTTGTGAGCAGGCAGTTGTGAGTTCGATCCCCGGTACCGATAAAAAGGAAAAAGACAAAAAAAAAGAAAAGGTAGTACTATTCTCATTTTATAGAAAAGGTAACTTTAAAAAAGAATATAACGTTTACCTGAAGGAAAGCGGCCAAAACCAATTTTAACAGAAAAATAAGAAAGCTATCTAAATATTAATATTTTAAATATTACATGTAAGTATCTATAATTACTTGAAAACCCCACCTAATAGTAAAACTGAGATTCCTACCATGTTAACAATTTGTGATCAAACTTACTCAAATCCAGTTTATGCAAACCTAAAGAATAAGATATGTTCATTTAACGAAAATTATAATAAAATGTCGATTTGGAGACAATCTGTCATTGAGTTAGCCTTGCTTGTTTCCTCCCTTTAACATGAGTAACTGAAAATTAACTATATGTATTGTGTTAAAGACAAACCTGTTTAAGTAAATCAGGTTCTTCTAAATTGTAACAATGTAGAACATAATATGGTTCAGGTCTTTTATCAGAATGAGTTTTTAAGAACATATGGCGAGGGGGCTGGGGATTTAGCTCAGCGGCATAAGCGCCTGCCTTGGAAGCAGGCAGTCGTGAGTTCGATTCCTGGTACCAGTAAAAAGGAAAAAGATTAAAAAAAAAAAAAAAAAAAAAAGAACATATGGCGATAAACCAAAATATTAACATATAGTCTTAGTTTCACAATTTCCTTAATTTCAAAGAAAACTTATCAAGAAAATGTTGGAAAGTAAATGCACTGCAACCCCGTATTCACATCTTTTAACTGACAAGAAATATGAAATGATTTAAATATTCTGAGTATCAAATGAGCTAATGTCTATTTTTTTGAAAGCTCCGATTAATATTACATATAAATACCATAAAACTAATGTGGATCAAGTAAAAGATATCCTCTATCATAAGCAGGTTGATAGTGGGAATGAGGAAATAGTATTCAAAAGGTACAGATTCAGTTAAACAAGAGAAATTATTTCTAGAGATCTACTGTACAAAATGGAGACTTTAATAATATACCGCATAACTGAAAACTTCTGAGATCTGACAACTTTTTAACACACGCATACATACAGTGTATGAAGTAATATGCATGTTAGTTTCATTTAATCACTTCACAGTATGTACATATGTTGAAATATGTTGTAGATCATAGATATATTATTTATCAATTATATTAATGAAGCTGGGAGGGAAATGCACATACCCAATTTCACAGCAAAAATGAGGAAAAAGGAAAGAAAAGGGGCTGAGAAAGGGCTCTATTGACTGACTATAGATTTAAAATATCACAAAAATGTAAAACCTATGCAATAGCGTTTAGGAATTTGGGCAGTCTAAATACTGATGAAAGAATTATTTAGTAGTACAAAAGAAGAAATGACCAATAATTGATTTTAAAAAATCTTTAAGTTGAATTATTACACAAAGAAATTCTTCTTTACAACTAGTTATAACAGAAACAGTTACAAAAGAAAAATAATGCATTAAATATCCAACTAATATAAAACCAGTTTTCCTTCTATGGTGTTTAATACCTCAAATATTCCTTTTGCCCAGTATTTCAGTTGGACCATTGGTTATACAGAAGAAAGCTTACTAGAACACAAGTGCTCTATAGATTTTAATTAAAGGAATTTTAAAAATTTTTATGTAATTCTGTACATTTAGATATGAATAAAGAAAATACAAAAAACACTCCTCTTACTTTCATGAAAAAATAAAGTTTGTAACAAAATACTCACAGGATAACAACAGGTAATACACTGAATGTTTTGCTTGGACTTGAATAGATATAATATTTTCCATTATGAGTAGTATATTAGAATCTCATATAATTGTTTTGACACAATGAAATTAACAGGCTTACTCCTAGTAGAATAATACACAATGATTATAAAGTATATTATTGCAGGATTCTGGATTTTATTATCATTCTTTGTGAAATGTGACTCATTTTAATATAATATTTTCAAAAGTGTACAACAGAGATGTAAAACAAAAGATTTAAGTCTTCAACTTTCCTATCTTCTAAATAATAAGTCCTAAAGGAAATAAAAATAACCTAAAATTTACTATTTTTGAAGATGCATTCCTTACAAATACTTTCATAAAGTAAAACACTTTCTAAATAAATATGTTTTAAAGCAGTATTTTTCAAACTGTACTTTGCAACATATTAGTAGGTCAAAATATCATTGTAATAGGTTTGACCACTAAAAAAATGGAATACAAAATAACAAAACAGAAGTTTACTACATAGACTGCCTTAAGGAATTCTATTATATTTGATTTTAGAATGTCATAATAGAATAGAGTAACTGATAAAGAATAAAGGAAACCACCTAGCTTATCTCATAAAAACTTCTTAAAAAGCCTTCAAATGAGTAAACACTTAGAAGTTCCACTTGAAATTACTAACGCTTACTCAGTAATGGAGTTATAAATCAAGAGCCACAGACCTTTTTCTGTAAAAGACCAAACAGTAACCTTTGGGCTACATGGTTTTCTTTGTTGACTTTGTTTTTTGGGTGGGTACTGGGGATCAAACTCATAACCTCAGGCTTGCCAGGCAGACCTAAATCCCTGGCCGTCAATATGGTTTCCTTCTATTTGCCTCAATATTTGGAGCACAAAAGCAGATACAGACAATATGTGAACTGACCAAGGTAGCACTTTTCTATAAAATTTTATTTAAAAATACAGGAGGCCTGGAGGACTTGGTCCATAAACCATATGTAGTTTGTAGGTCAATGGTAAAAGAATTTGTTTCTACAAATTCTAAAAAGCTAAATCCTTACCTATCTTAATGAATCGACAAGGGAACATCTGTTCATCAATTTTATGCTTCAAGGTGAATGTTTCTTTGTTATAATCATTCTTTAAACCACTGTGAGAAAAAAGTAACGTTAGCAAATTTGGTTTTATAATTTAGCAACACACTAAAACACAGAATAATGTCATACTCAAGATTTTAAACTCAAACCAATATTCACATTTGATCAAGACAGCATAAATGAGTAGTTAACATGGGAATATAGACCAGAATTTGTACATTTAAATCAACTTTAACACACATGCATTACATAATGGCTAATGAAAAATTCAGTGTTTACAAATGTGGCTATAGCATATGGGAATGTGTAACAGAACCTGAAGTCCTTAACATATTACCGAGTGTGACATAAAATTTCTAAGTAATATGAAGAAATTTAAGAATAAAGAAGGCTGGGGATTTAGCTCAGCAGCGTAAGCACCTGCCTTGCGAGCACATGGTTGTGAGTTCGATTCCTAGTACCAAAAATAAATAAATAAATTTACTCTCATTATCTGATGACTTAAAGCTAAATACCAGAATTTATTGAAGAATTAAATTACTTCCCAACAAGATGTCAATATTCCTTTTACAATTCAAACACTTTTCAGTCTTATTCTGTAGGTTTAAAAACATGTACTTTCTCTTAAACAAAATTTAATTCATATTATCTCTATTTAACCAAACAGAACTGATGATTACAGAAGTATCACTTTCCTTTCAGGTTGCTTTAACAAAGTACTTTTGCAACTCAAATCAAATACAGCAGTATTATTTGCTTACATAAAGTGTGGTGTTAGTGAATATAACATGTTATAGACACCTTTTTTTTAAAATTTTATTTAAGGAGAAAAAGAAAAACAGCAGAGAAAGGGTACAAGTTATACAGATTTACAGAAAAAAAACAGTAGGAAATCACTAGTTAATGGATTACATATTGTCATCTTAGAAATAATTGTTCAAGTTACAAAATTAAAGCTTATAAAGTGGTCATTCCAACAGTGAGACTGCAAACAGTTCTGTTCAATGATCCAACAAAACTCAGTGATATCATTATCTATCTTATACACTTAAATATACATGCAGTTATATTGTTTAGCATAGATACCTTCTTTACCTCCACGGCTTTATTTGTCCCCTCCATTGAGTCTCTGATTTTTCATTCTCTGAGGTATAATTTAACACTCTTGATGCCCTATGTTTTAAAACTCAAATTTACTGAGCTCTTTCTAAGAGGCAGGCACTGTGCTAGATATAATCACATACATTTTTTATTCACAGAATCTTCTTCTTGGTCTTCAACTTATTATGATTATGCCCATCAATGTTTAGGACAGGGTCTATCTAAGGACTTTTTTTCCTTCCCAACCTCTGCCCTCTTCTATAGCAAAGAGTTTGATTCAAGCCAGTCACAGTTCAAAATTATGACTGCAACAGAAGGGGAAAAAAGTAATCTTTCTTTACTGCTAGCAATATTTACTGGAATCTGGAATTAAAAATACAAAAGCCAACACAAGCCACACAGTTAAAATAAAGAATGAGGATCAAAATAGAACATTCTTACTTCCTTGAAGAAAACCAAAATAGATGTACCTATAAAGCAACTAAGACTACAGTTCGCTTGAAAATGCTTTCTTCCCCACAACGTAACTCACCTAGACAATAGCTCTGTCATATTTTCTTCATTCATTCCACCAAAGACTTTAAATTTCTTCAAATTGCAGACATGTGTTTTCTCGTATTTTCCAAATGTGATATTCTGAACTATAGCAGGCCTTTCAAGTTTTAGAATCAAATACTAAAAAAAAAACAATGAAATTATATTCTCTTTTTTAGACAAATAGACAACTTTAAAACTGAAGTTTTAATATTAAAAGAAAAATGAACAGGGTTCAACCTACACTGATAGGTTTGCTTTTTAAGCTAAAGAATAGTATACAACAGCTTTACAAAAGCTACCATTTCATTACTACTTTTTCACACTAGCAGGGCCTAAAAGTTACATGACCTTTAACACTGTAAGTAGGAAAAAAAATGAACTAGTGAGGTAACTTGTAATCAAGGAATAATAAAAGATATAACCACACTATGAACAATCAACTAAAGCGTAAAATGCAAAAATCACAGTTAAATATGCCCATGGATTTCACTACCTAGATGAAAGTTTCAAATCAGTGATAAAATTTTAAGCCTGAAACAAATTTAGAGATTTACAACCAGCCCTACCAATTTTACAAGTTAAAAAACCCAAACCTACTACTACTGGTCAGGATAAAGGATCAGTCAGATAGGAAAAATTATCTACAACTTTTTTCAATTATAGAATTTGAGGGAAATTACCACTGACTGAATACATGTGAAAAAAGTTATCTGAAAAAAATTAAGATTTTTTGGGAGAGATTTTATGCTTTGATAATAATGAGTAAAAGTAAGAATTTTAAAAAATTGATAGGCCTACATTTACTGGTCATAAAAATTAACTCAAACTGGGTGTGGTAGCATACATCTATAATTCTATCACTAGGGAAGCTCAGGCAAAAGGATTGCTTTGAGTTCAAGATCAGCCTGGACTACAAAGTTTAAGGCCAACCTGAACTGCATAGTGAAACCCTGTTTCAAAAAGACAAATAAAAAAATAAACTCAAAATAGGTCAAACTGGTTCGAAACGTGACTGAAAATCTGAAAGTTAAACTTCTCAAAGTCTTTAGAGAAATCTAAAGCATATTCATGATTTTGGATTTGACAATGAATTCATAGATAGCATACCAAAGTATAAATAAGAAGTTTAAAAATTTGACTTCATCAAAATAAAAGCTTTTGAGATGGATATGGTTGTACATCCCTATAATCTCAGCATTCTGGTACACTGAGGCCAGAGGATCACAAGCTGAAACCCAGTATGGACAACTTGGCAAGAACCTGTCTCAACAATTTTCAAGAAGGCTTGGGATGTACCTCAGTGTAAAGGCCCTAGAGTTTCAATTTCGAGTACTTGAAAAAAAAAAAAAAAAAAGCTCTGGTGTCAAAAGACACTATCAAGTGAAGTGAGAGTGAAAGTGAAAAGACAACCTACAGAATAGAAAATTTGCAAATCATATATTTGATTAAAGAATATGTAAATAACTTTTAAAACTTAATAAAAATAACACAATTCTTAAAGTTGGGCCAAGAAATTGAATAGGTCTTTCTCCAATGAAAATAAAGAATTGACTAACAGGTACATCTGCTTAACATCATCACTCATAATGAGAATTCAAATCCAAGCCGTAATGAAATGCCACTTCATATCCACTAAGACTAACAGGAAGCAAGGGAGGAAGGGAGGGAAAGAGGCAGAGATGTACAACCCACCATGTAAAGAAATCAGAATTTGCAAAGATATAGAAAAGTAAAATTCTTATATATTGCTAGTAGGAAAACAAACACCATGGGAAGAAAATAGTTTAAAGGTTCCTCAAAAATATTAAACAGAATTACTACATAACCAACAAATATACAGTTGTATGAAGTGAAAAGCACTTATTGGAATAAGCACTTTAACAGGTATGTACAGAAAAGTATTATTCAAAACACGCCAAAGGCAGAAACAACTCAAATGCCCTACAATGATAAATGGCCAAAAAATGCAGTTCCTCTACACAATGCAGTATCATATAGCCACAAACAAGAGTAATTACTGATATGTGCTACAATATGAATTAACCTCAAAACCTTGCTAAGGGAAAGAAGACATAAAAGACTGATATATGATTCAACATATATCAGTACATAAAGACTAAAAACAAAAAGTAGATTTATGGTTGCCAAGATGTGAATGAAGAGGAAAAGGACAGCCAGGCATGGTGGTACATGCCTGTAATCCCAGCATTGAGAAGGATGAGGCAGGAGGATTGCTATAAGTTCGAGACCAGCCCAGGCTACACAGTGAGCAAGTCGCCAGCTTAAACTAGCCAGACCCTGTCTAAAAAAAAAAAAAGACTAGTCCAGAAGTATAAGGTTTCTTTTTGGGTGACAAAAACACTTGGGAGCTAGAAAGAAATGGTAGTTGGGCAATTCTGTAAACGCACTAGGTGGAACTGTATTTATTTATTTTATTTATATATCTATAGATCTATAGATAGATATATTTTTTTGTACTGGGGATTGAACTCATAACCTCACACTTGCCAAGCAGGTGATTATACCACTGAGCTAAATTCTGGCCAAATTACATATTTTAAAATAGTTAATTATATGCTCAATTTAAAGAAAGAATGATTTTAGAACACTGTGAAACTGGGGTGTCAGCAGGATCACGTACTCTTCAAAAGATCTAGGGAAGGGTCCTTCTTGGTCTTTACCAATATCTGATGCTCCTGATGTTTCCTGACTCATGGCAGCCTAACTCCAATCTCTGCCTCCAACTTCATAGCTTTCTTTCCTGTGTCTGCCATCTTCTCCTTTTCTATGTATAATAAAGACAATTCTCATTGGATTTAGGGCCTACCCTAATCAAGAATGATCTCAACTAGAGATCCTCACCTTAATTATATCTGCTAAACAAATCAAATAAGGTCACATTCTTAAGGGTTCATACATCATTATTTCTTTGGGTAGAGAGGGGGAGATAAGATATTCAACTCATTATACAGAATTATGCCAGACAAAAAAGTAACAAAGACTTATGAAAGTGAGTTTAAGGCATCATTAAAATGTCAGGGTTAAGTGCAGCCTAGTAAGCAAGGCAGAAAATGGTAGGCGCTGAGAATGAAGAGGTGGGTAGCCACCAGATCACTTAATGTGTGCCATTACGTGAGTTTCAAATTATAAATGCACTGGGATCTATTTAGGCAAAATAGTAACAATCTAACAACACACACAAATACAGTCTGCTTTGTGGAAAATGGATTAGAAGAAGTTATGATGTTGTTATAATAATTCACACAAATAAGATGAAGAAAATTTGGACTGGAATGGTGTGGAGTTGCTGACAACTAAACAGTTTCAACATAATATTGGAGAAACAATTGGTAGGATGGATGACTGTATGAAGGAAGAGGAGAGGAAGGTAACAAGGGTGATGATTTAGTTTCTCATTTGAGTGACAAGTTAGCTGTTAATATTATTTATTCTGAAGAGAAAGACTGGCAGAGAGACAGGAAGAATAAAAAATGAAAATAGTCAACAGTCCAGACTCTGTATCTATGAATGTTGGAGGCAATCCAGGCAGTTCTTGAACTGGTATCTCCATGTACTGAGACTCACTCATGTAGCTATATTCAGTTGGTGGGCTGGCTGGCGAACTGGGCCTGCTTGGAGTAAGAGGAGGTTGGCCTTAAAATGGGATTGGACCTCTCCTTGCGAGCTTTCATTCTCAAGAAGATTGGATGGGCTTTCCTTACACCACAGTTGTCTGAGTTCCAACAGATTTTGCTAAGAAATTGTAACTGAATTTTCTGTTTTCAAAGTAAGTTACAAAGCAGTCAAGATTCACGACTCAGGAACAAACTGTACCTCCTGTTGGAAAAAATCTAAAATCTGTGACCATGTTAAGAAATCTGGACTCTTTTTGAGGACAGTAAACGTAACCGTAAATCATACATCTGATAAAGGACAAATGTACTTAAAAATTCTCAAAGCTCAACAATAAGTAAAAAAATTTAAAAACGGACAAACCATTTAAAGACATTTTTCCAAAGAACATTTAAAAAGATAAATAAGCATAAGATAATCATTTTTAGTACTTTTAAACTGCAAATTAAGATCACAAAGACATGTACATTACCATTACCAATAAGTTTTTATTTTTCCTAGCCCGAAAATGTACAACAACCCAATGCCCATCAATATGTGTAAAGATGAACAGTGAGATATTCATAGCAGAATTAAACAGTATAAATGATAATATTTTAAAAATAGATGCATTATAGAATGAGTCTCAATTATTTTCGGTGAAATAAATCAAATAAAAAATACTGTATTGCCAATGATTGCCTAGAGACAGGGATGGAGGTAGGTAGAAGGGATTAAAATGGAATTAGAACAAACTTTTGGAGGTAACAGATATGTTTAAAACACAAGTGTGGGTATTTTCAAGGACATATATTTATGTCAAAACTTACTTAATTGTGTGTCAATTATATCTCAGTAACTTTTTAAAAATAATAAAAGATATAGTAAGCCACTGCAGTACATACCTGAAGCAGGACTTACATCAGGAAGATATAAACATACAGTTCAATACTAATCAAAAAGTAAAGAACCTCACACATGGGCACAAAATTAATTAAAAACCTAATAAACATTTAATAACCAAATGGAAAAAGCACTCAGTATCATTAGTCACCAGATTTACAAATTAAAACCACTTCACAACAGTAATTACTAAAATCCAAGTGTCAATATCAAATGTTAATGAGGCTATGAAGCAACTAGAATGATTATTTCACATAAAATATATTCCTACCTTATATTACAGTAATTCTAATTTTAGATATCTGTACAAAATAAATGAAAATATCTTATTTCATTTTTAAAATCTTATATAAGAATGCCCATAAAAGCTTTATGCATAATCACTCAAAACAAGAACTACTGAAGTCCTAAATAGAAGACTGGATAAACAACTGTGGATAATATCATGTAATGGAAAGAAATAAAATATTAATTCACATGACAACATGGATAAATATCAAAAACATACTAAGGATGAAAAGTAGAAGGGGGTTTTCTCCCCCGCCCCTCTGTTCTGCCCCCCCACCACCGACTCCATTTATATCAAACTTTTTAAATTTTATTTAAAGAAAAAATAAAACAGA